ACTGAAAAGCAAATAGAAAAATTGATCCACACTGGTTGACAAACTAGCCAGTTTTACGAGACAAGCGGTGCAGAATCAATTGATCACTGAATTAGAGCAGCGGGCTACACTACCGACATTCAATCGGATTGAATTCAAGTTGTAACAATACACTGCAATTTTCCGAGAGAATGAGCGGAGAGAACCAACAGTCGAAAAACTCCCATTGTTACTAAACGAGTTAGCTCGGGGGTGGGGTGGGAGACAGAGCACAAACACTGTGCATGGTCATGCGCAGGCCTAGATTATTGCAACTGTTCATCATAATCATCGGAAGATAAATACTGCCCATATCAGATAGCGTCCATTAGGCCGGAGTCCGAGGAGCTCTACACCCGGTTTCCTCGCTCCTTATTAGGTTAGAACCCGATGCTGATTATCGTGCTTCACTCTAATTTCTTTCATCTACGTAACTTCAATCATTTACTGTTTGTAGCACATATTGCAAACTTATTTTTTTAACACAACCAATTACATACAAGTAAAAAATGGGCCACAACATATGAAGAAAAAAATTTGTGGACTTGTTCATGGGTTGTATGGGCATGTCATTTCTCGGTTGCCCTAACCGAGGAAGAGAACTAACCTCGGGATAGGCAACCAAAACCTTTGGCTAGAAAACCAGACCTGTAACACAGCAGGACAGAGCTCAGAAGTAACAGTTCATTGAGGAGTGGTGTTCAGTTCCTCAGATAATATAACCTTTGGACGGGGTTAAACGTCCAAGATACCCAATACACCTCGATGCCCAAATGAGCTGGTGACTAAAGTCAAAACCAGCGGTGTTTGTGGTGCGTACAACTACTCTTAGTTGATTTGGAATCAGGGTTTTGAGCCAACTCCCCTAGGTGAACTACTCATAGCCCGCCAACCTGGTTATAGCTCCAGATGTCGGCTTTTCGTACTCTCACTTAGATGGTAAAACACAACCACGAGAACGCAGTGAGTAGGGCTCCTTCAGTAAAGGCTTGGTCTTATGGGAGCATTTCGCGAACTACAATGGAGGGGTGACCAGGCGTAACCCGAGACACGCTTAGGATTTCGGAGGCCTGGGATGGTTCGGCCAAGTTCGCTTTAGCGTGTTTCACTGTACGAAAAGGATTATGCACGTCAAGTCACCTGGCTTTCGTGAGAGATAAATTTATGAAAACTCCTGTGAAACACAGTACAACTTAAAGTCCTCCGTACCCATCAGTTGTTTCTTCTCCAAAGTTGTTTTCGTAGGTTTTGCAAACTCAAATCCAACCGTCTCTTTAAAAGGCTCGCATAGTCGATGAAACTCACAACGTGACACCATGCTTATCGGCGGTGATTGAAAGGCAATTATAAATACGGAGCCTGGCGGAAATTCGACACTGGTCGATGACGTGTTAACGGCGAAAGTCTAACCGAATTTGCCGACTTCGATCGGTGATGCTAACTGCGAGAACCTTTTTCGACTCAGGAAAAGACAACGCCCTCAAATCACATGTCCACACTTAACGGTCCGACATTGCACCACTTGTTCAACCAGGCTGGTTCCTTTAGCCACCTTCTCTGACAACTGACCGTGTACGATTCGGTTTACGTGTGACCATGACCTCTTTCCGGTGGATTCCTCTCTAAGTCTTTACAAGTAAATTCACACGAAACAATTTCAGTAGGGTCAAACAGAAAGGTGGATGAGTCAAGTGTTTGACAATACGCCGAAAACATATGTTCGCCTAAAATGTGTTTTTAATCAATGGCCATATTTCGTGATATTATTAATTTGTGTACGAAGTAGTTTAAAACGTGTGTTGAACTCGCATGCATTTGAACATGTGCAGAACAAAAAGATGAAGCGAATTTCGAGCAGGCTCGGATGAGCGGGAAGTGAGGGCTGCGATATATAACGAACTGGGATGTTTGCTGCAATCTCCACTGACTTTTGATGAGCAGCGACGATCACTTTTCGCCTCAGTTGTTACGATATTTTTGTGCCAGCGTAAGTGCCATTAAATTATCAACAAATAGTTATGAGGTTCTTGTTCTTGTGACATCTAACACAAATCAGCCTGCAGGAGAACCATGGCCCATTATCTATCCGCTGATGTCTGAGCATGGATATTTGTCGAGAGAAACTACTTACAATGTGGATACATTAGACCACTCTACCAGGTTCCATGGTCCAGCACGATAATTCTCTATTGGAACTGTAGGATCTGAAACAGAGTTTGGAGTCTATTGTTTTTTTGTCGCTTTGACCTAAACGATCCGGTCAGTCTGGATGCATTTGTGCACACGGAGTCTATACACATCAGCGAGTGTGTAAAGCGAACACGATCCGGCCGACTACGATGCAAAGAGATCCATTTAGCCCCGGCAAATACAGATAAAAGCTGTGTAGAAAAACGTAATAGTTCATAGCAAAATCAAGTGCATCATGCTTGCCCCTATCCCATTCAGTGGTGCTCTCTCTCTTGTCGGTAGTGTTTCAATGACTCTAGTTTTAACATTTCTGTCGGGTTCTGATGTTTTGATAGAATAGTTGGTGATACAATTTGTTATCACCAGTATACTAATGTTGTTTGGATCCGGTTACACATTTTTTATTACACACTAGTGAGTGATGAACAACAGACGGGGTGGATCCCTTAGCTACGAATATCTGCTGTCCAGTGATGGTAACCGGCATCCTAAGCCCCAGGGCTTGGAGTGGTGACTCACATAAGGCCGTCAGTTGGGTGGCGGCGCTCAAACCTCGGACTACAGGTTTCAAAGCACGCCGGTGACAGTCACTGAACCACTGTGTAACTATTATTCCTCAAGCAGGCCGGAAAACCCACAGTCAACAACTTGGAGTAATGCGAACGCTTCCACCTCTAGCTCGAACAAGCATTCAACACTTCCCTAAATTTTGGTGGGGTACGAAGCTAGTTTTACAAACGGCAAAATTGTTCAAATTACCGTTTCGTTTTCTCCGATCGACAGTGCAACCAGTTCGGCCGATCGAAGACTAATCCACAGACGCATCCACAAAGTTGGAATAATTTTTATGCATCTGCGAAACGCGCAGTGGAGCCGTTGCTAAATAAGCCTTTAGAGTAGATTGTGTTCGCGGAACCACTATTCATTCCGTCCTTATATACGGTCACTTAGAACTGAGGACAAAATGTTTCAAGTCCTCACCGGCTGTTGGTTACGTCGCATTGGGAGAGTAATATGGCAGCGCCTGATCCCTAACCATGATATCTGCCATCGTAGCGTCAGCATAGAAAGTCGGCGTGGTTTCCTGCATCGGAGAAAACTCAAGCGTTTCGGCCATATTCTCATCATCAATTGACGAATTGAAGCATTGATCTAAAGTCTGGCCCGACGTGGTGTCTTGCACTGAACAACACAATACCTAAATCTGTGCAGTGTCAGCTGAAACGGAACATTTTCATTCCACAGCTACGTGGCACAGTATAAAGGAGTGAATCTCCCGAAATGAATACTTTGCGATGGCCAACGATTATTCGGATGGAGACACGTCAGTTGTTTCCGCTTTTGACGG